TAGTGCTATGCCTTGGGCAAAGCAATCACTCAATATCTGTTGAATAAGAGAATCAATGTATAATTGAATGAATGATGACATGAAATGCATGATGTGTATCTGTATCATCAAAGCTCTGGTGCTGAGTAATCTTTAAGGGATTACCAGAAGCAGGGGGGCCAAGTTTTAAGATTAAAGGAACCAAAAAGAAAATGAAGTTGAAATAATTCAAGAGTTAAAAAAAAAAATCAGTGTATATCTTGATCTGGGTGGTAGTTATGCAAGTGTATACATATATAAAAATGAATTGAACTAGGCATGAAAATTAGAGCACTTTATACACTTTTCTGTATGTATATTATGCTACAATAAAAAAGAAAAAGAAAAACCATCAGAACTTTAACTTTTATAGCCCTTATTTTATGATTTAATATTATTTTTATTTGCTGTATGGGGGAGGGTGCACCATAATCTTGACAATACTTTGGGCCTCTAGATATCCTTGGTATTAATAAATGTTTGTTACAGGGAGTAAGAGATCCACCTTTAGGTTCATGGTGTCTGGCAGAGAGTAGGAGCTACTGTAGTTCATGTGTGATGAATGAATGGATGGATGGATGAATGAATGAATGAATGAATGAATGTGCTCCACAAGTTTCTGGGATATGGCAGCCCAGAACTGAAACCAACTCCAAGGGTTTCTCAGACTCTAGACCCTGGCCCTCCCTCCTCCCAGCCCCGCTGGCCCTAGCCCCTACCCCAGCAGCTCTGGATGCTGTCCTGGACTTCGAGCCCCCTGCAGTCTGGAGAAAGATCACAGAAAAGCCTCCTGTGGGGCTGGGAACCAAGGAAAGAAGGGAGGGCAATCTAACTCATGGGGAGCTCTGGGAAGGGCTTCTTGTTCCCTAAATATCGCCCAATCTATCCAATGCCCAAAATGCCTTCCCTAGGGACAGGAAAGCCATGTCACTTGTGGAGAGGAGGCATGAGGAACTGACCCTGGGAGGATGAGAGCTGACACTGCTTCCCGAGAGTGGACAGGACTAGGAAGGAGGTGAAAGCAGAAGGCGGGTGGCCAAAGGAGCGAGAAACTAGGGAGGCTAGGATTTGGGGCCCCGGAGGCTCTGAAGCCACTTACCAGGCAGCTGCTGTGTGAAATTGAGTTCCTTCTCATACCTGGGCTGAGTGTAGGACCAGATGCGTACCTCAGCCCCTACAGCAGCCTCGAAGCAGTCAAATACTACTGAGCCCTGTGAGGAGAGGGGTGGCACAAGGCTAGTGGTATGGAGTTCAGAATCCATGTCAAGGGCTGTGGGATCCTCTGTGTGGATCACTCCCTCCCCTTTTTCCCAACCAATGACTATATTCATACTGTATGGCCTGAAATTCTGCCACTGAAGTTTCCTGCAAGGGCTCCCAATTCTAAAGCACACACCCTCAACAGGGGCATCAGCAGGGCGGGGATAAGGGCTCTAGCTACTTGAGTTCTCAACTCCAGCTGTTCTGGACTACATGGCCAATGCTAAGGTGCTCGGACGCCCCCCCACAGAAGGGGTTCTCACACCCAGGGCCTCAGTAGTCCTCACGATTGCCCCGGGAGGTGGGCCAGCAGATGTTCTCCCTCTCGAAAATTGTCCATATCAGAGGAATTGGCCGGGGACTGGGGGCAGGAGGGAAAGTCAAAGGGTTTGAGTGATTTGGCCCAAGTGGAAAGACACCTCCTGGAGTAGCCCCAACACCCTGCACCACGGTGTATACATGGGGCAGACATGGTGTGGCAGGAAGTCCAGAGGAATGAATCCAGCCCACAGACTTTTCCTCTCCAAGTCTCACTTTTTCTATCTGGTAAATGAGGGTAATAATACTACCTAGTTCATGGCATTGTCATCTCATTTAATTCTCGTAACATCCATGTGAAGTAGGACTACTCTTATCCCCACTTGGAAGACAGGAAAACTGGGCATAAAGGGCTGAAAGGATTTTCTCACAGGCCTTATCAGAGTCAGGACTTAAAGAGATAATACATGTGGAAGCACTTGATAGATTTCTTATTCAGAAGATGGTTATTATTATTATTTCGCATACCACAGACTGCCCAGGCTGCACGAAGGCAGCGGGCACTTGCACCTCCAGCAGGACACAGCGGTCTGTAGGGTAGGCCTGGAAGGAGAGCACGACTTGGGCCTGGAGAGAGGCTGTGAGCAACAGGGTGGGGTTGGTCAGGCCCAGAGGCCACAGGCAACACCCTGGCCAGTGGCATTTGGGCCAGCAGGGTTCTCCTCACCGTTCTTGGGCTCTTCAAGCTCTGGGTCAGCTGCTCTTCCAAATTGTTTCTCATCTTCAGGCTCTTCCCAGTGACCTGGAAGGCCCCCAAAACAAGGCCCAGGTCAGGCCTCCTGCTCTGGGCTGGCTTTGGGCTTGGTTTTCTTCCAGAAAGTAGATGTGGAGAAGCAGGGGCCAGGCCTGGGGCCTGGGGGTGGATGGGGAGACTGGCCTGGGATCCTTTGGCCAGCGTCCTCCAGAAGAACACTGAGGGTGTCCAGTGCTGCCTGACTGCCCGATCCTCATGCCCATCCCAGATACATTCACATGTGCACGTGGATGACATGCTCACCACGCACAGCCAAGTGGACGGCCACACGCACGCAGAGGCCACAGTCAGTCTCCTCATAGCACCTCAGCACCAGTTCTGTCCGTAGGCGTGTGGGTACCAGCACGGGTCCTGGGGCAGACACCATGCTCCCAGGCAGGCAGAGCATGTCACCACCTGTGTGTGAAGGGCAGAGTGGGAGCTGAAGCTGTTCTGAACCCAGAGTTTGGTTGCAACTGACACTCCCAGAGGGCCAAGGAGCTTGGGCTCTTTGGGGGCTGAGGGTGGGACATGAGGGCATGGGACTGGGACAGCTCCCCTCCCTTCCACCAACCTAGGAAGTTCTTTTCTCTCTAAAAGTAGGGCTACTCACCCAACAGGTGGCAGGAGAGGCCCTGGGAAGGAGGTAAAGGAGAGTCAGGGTTTATGGTTCTAAATCGAACCCTCTTTCCTTCCCTGAGTTCCCCGCCTACCTCTTTCTGGGGCTCCCTATTCCAAGCCCCTCCCAGAGAAGACAGACCCAGCTCTTGCCCCCTCCCCATTCTCCTCTTACTCCATCAGTACCAGACAGACCAGCTAGGGCAGTTCTGGTGGTGACAGCAGTGACAGGAGCCAGGCTAGGGCCTTGATGGGCCTCAGACTGAACCCTGAGCCTTTTCCCACCCTCCTGGGGCCCCAGACTCACCGGAGAGCAGTGAGCAGCATCCTGAGGCCCCACAAGCCTCTCCAGAGAGAGGACCACCGGGCTTGGGCCCAGTGCAAAGGACAGCAGGAACCAGGGCACAGGCATCTTCCAGGTGCCGGGTGGCACCCAGGCACCAGGTCCTGATCTGCCCCCCCCTTGGGGGGGGCAGATACCTCACCTCTGCTCCCACTCAGTCCCCAGCAATTGGGCAGGAGGGGCCAGAATGTCTCCCAGCCTCCGGGGTCCCAGAGCTGGCGAGCTGGCACACTCCCTCTCCTGGAAGTCCTGACTCCAGTCTCAGTCCCAGCCGAAGTGCTTTCGTTTTTGGCTCCTGGCAGGCAGCTGGCTGTTCCCGCCCCACCCTGTCCCTCCCACCAACACCAGGCCTGGGAGCCAGCAGCCTTGGACTGGGGTAGTGGCCTCATCTCCTTCTTCCCCTCCTTTCCCTCCGGTCCTCCTCCCTCTCCTCCTCCTCCCCTGCTGACATGTGGCTGGGAGGGACCCTGGAGAGGGCGTAGCAGACTGGCCTCTTTGCTGAGTAAGGAAACTCTTACTCACCCTGGGAGTCCCTAAGGAGGAGGGCTGTGAGTGCACCCCAGGATCTGAGCAATCCTGGGGCATTTTGCTTCCCACACGATTCTGGGATCTTGGTGTTTACTGGATCCCCTCTTATTGGACACTCAGGGTCCCTTCACACAGACTCCCTGGGCCTTGGTGACCCTGTGTGGGTCAGGAGTTCTAATGGCAGGGGCAAGGGGAACCAGAAAGTGGGCTTTTCACCACTTCTCAGGCTATGCTCAGTGTGGTCTGGTGGGAGGAGGCACACAGGATCCAGAGCCAGCTAACGGCAGTCCCATTTGTGCTTTTGCCATGGACTGGCTGTATGCTGATGGACACACTACTTTTTCAAACTTTTTTTTTTTTTTTTTTAACTCTTCTCATGAAAGAATCACAGTGCGGATCAAGATTTCCAGGTCCTCCTTTGTCTTTCCAGTGGCATTGCATGATGAATGGCCGTATGGGTATGGACATGGAGGATTTGGGCCACAAACTGATGGATAACAACCCCCACAGGTGGTGCTGACCCTTCCCCCGAATGAACATCCTGGGCACACTAGAGACGCACGTTGTTTCTTAGTTTATCCATCATGTTTGCCTTTTTCATCTTTCTCCATCTTGATGTCCACTGTCCCACCTTTGCCCTGGCCACCCAGAGCCAAAGCCTTTTTCCCTTGGTCCAGTCCTCCCTCCCTCTCCATCTGGGCAAGGTCTCGGTCTGGGAAAGAAGGATTCCCTAGCTCCCAAGGGGGTTTTCTCCCACTTCTCTGGAGTCAACCCCCTTCAGAACTGCCATAGTTCCTGTCTCCCCTACCCCTGTTCCAATCTCTCCAGCCTGTATAGGAGTATGTGCAGACTACTTACTCTCTGGAATTTTGGAGAAAGGAAATGGGAAGACTCCCCCCCCCCCATCAGAACTTGAGTCAGAGGAGCCCCCAGTAAAGAGCGACTCTCTCCCTGGGGGTTCTGAGAGGCAGGGAGGCATCAGGAGGAAGCCAGACGCAGGTGCGCAAGGGCCAGGAGTGAGTCTGCTGCTCTGTTCCTGGGCTGGAAGGCAAGGAATAAGCCTTTCGGGCAGTAGTCTTCAGGAGGTACCCCAAGAATTACAGGGTAGAAGCCTCTTTCTGGTGTACCAGCCAGTGCCCTTATGACAATGGCCAAGACATCAGGATTGCCGGGGAGCTCAACTCAGCCTTGGTGGGCGAGTCTGGCTGCCTCGCGTTCCAGCCGGCGGCACAGTTCCAGTTGACTCCGTAGGCACTGCGGAGCGCGGAGGCGGCCCCAGCCGGCGGCTTGGGTGGAAGAGCCGGAGTCCAGCGCCCGCAGCAGGCGAGGCAGATCGCGCAGCAGGCGGTAGCGCGGCAGAGCGCGCAGGGCCTGGGGAATGTCGCCCTTGGCGCAGAGGCGACTGAAGTAAGCCAGCAGCAGAAGCGGGCGTGGGGCGGTGCGGAGCAGGGCGCGCAGGGTCGCGGTGTGGGTGTCCGAGCTGCAGGCTGGGCTGGAAGACGCACTACTCCACAGCAGCAGCACGGTGCCTCGTTCCCGCAGCACCTGCGCCCGCGCTGCCCACAGCCAGGGCAGCGGGCCCACACGCGCCACGCGTGTCCCCTCCCATAGGTCCACGATCACATCGCGCCCGCCACCCAACGTGGCCCGTAGCAGTTCAGCCAGTGCTCCCACCAGGCGCCGCTGCGCCTCTGACTCTGCAACGTGCAGAAGTAGCACCGGTTGCTGTTGGCCAGGGCCTAGGGTGGGAGCAACAGAACAGGGTGGGGGTTAAGAGACAGCCCAGTTCTATCTTCCTCGGCCCTAGGGCTACATCATTGGGTGCCCCTCCCTAGTTCCTTATCTGCGCTGGGGTGGGTGCCCAAAGCAGCTCTAGTCAATAAAGTGCTTTGGGGGCTATTTAGATAAAGGCACCCTGGAAGGGGTGAAGGCCAGGACGCCAGGATTGACACGTGCAGCGCAAGCTGGATTTCCTCTCCACTAGCCTGTAGCCCAGTGACTTGGTACATTGAACCAGGGGCACAGAGGGACCTTTGCCCTGCCTTAACCATTTCTGCCCACTAGGGGGCCTGAGGCTCACCACTGTGAGTAGCAGATAGCTGGGTTGCAGCGGCAGGTACATGGCTCTTGGGGAAGGGACCCTGGGCAGGGGACAGGTTCCAGCAACTAGTCTAGGAGCTAGGCAGGTCTAAATCCTCAAATTACGCCCCAGTGAGCTCACCTGACAGTGGGCGCCGGAGGATAAGAACCAGAACAACTCCCAATAGGGTGGCCAGGGCCAGCAGTGCCAGGATCAATAGTCCCAGGTGTCTATGAGAAACTGAGTCAAGCAGGGTGAGGCCAAGCTGGGCTCCTCAGTGCCTAACCTTCCTCTTACTCCTCCCCACAAAGAACTCACCATCAGGACACAAGAGGTGCTTGCAGGCAAACTGGACATCTGACCTCCATACCTGAGGGCACAGAAACACCCACCCCCCCATCCTGTGAGTCAGGGTACAGTGCCTTCTCCAGGGGAAGTTAAATAAGCATAGAGATAGTGAAGGGGAGGCCCTCTGGATAAGGAATTCATCCAGCACAGAATAGGTCAAGAGTGGCAAATTCAAAGAGTAAACTCAAAGTTGGCCAGGGTGTCCATGAGGCCCTGGACGGCACAGGCTCTGGCTGAAGTAATCAGACGCCAACTGATCTCCAGCTTGTTGTCACCAGGCCTGAATGTGGACACAGAGCACTGGGTTTTCTGAGTTTTCAAGAGAAGCCAGAAATCAGCTTTTTAAAATATGACATGCCTCAATATTTAAACTGGGCAACAAATTTCAATTTCAAACACCATGCTATACAGACCAAACATTTTTGCAGACTGGATTTGCCCCATGTGCCACCTGTAGAGTAGATGCTAGGGGAGGATGTGTAGAGGGAGGGCCAGATTTCTTACCAGGACACAGCCCCCTGGTCTCAAGAAGGGAATGATGAGGTCTAGTGTCACTGGGCTTGAGACCTGAGTCTGTTGGAACAAAGAACAAAATGACTGTTCGCCAGGAAGCAAATCTGGCTCTATCCAGCCTCTGAGCCTTTGCTCATGCTGTTCCTCCTTTCTAGACACCCCCAACGCACCCACCCCCAAATCCTCCCCAGGCTTAAGGCCAATTGCCACCCCTGACAAGAAGCTGTCCCTGGCTTCATTCCTAGATCCCGCTGATCATTCCCAGATCAGAACTGCCTCACAGATACACATTAATCAGACTATCAGACATATTTGTCAACAGACATACTCTGGGTGCCGACTCTGTGCCAAGCCCTGAGGAAAGAAGGCGGGCACAGATGTTGTCTCTGTCCTCTAGCAGCTCACAAAACAGGGAGGCTAATAATATGCTGCCCTGCTCCTGTCCTGCACAGCTGAAGGGGTAGCATATCCACTGGAAAGAATCTAAGTTGTGGAGTCAGGAAACCACAGCTAATCAAGTCAGGCTTAACTGTTGCCTTTGTGGTTCCTAGTTGAGTGACATTTTATACATCGATCCCTGAGCCTCAGTTTCATTTGTCTGTGAAGGGTAATAATCCTTGGTTTCCATCACATGGAAATATGCATGTGAACACTTTATAATACACAGTTCAGTGTGTATTCATTTAGTAGTAGTAGCTATTATTACACCATGGACTCCTAGGGGCAGAGACTCTGTTATGTTTCTTGTATCTTCCAAGGCCTAAGACAAGGTAGGCACAGAGTAGGCACTCAACGCATGCTGAATTGGACAGAACTGATTGCCATCTGTCTACAGGCAGGATGTGGCTCTGCCCTATGTTCTGGGTCCTGGGTAGGGAGCTGATCAGAATCTTCATCCTTTGGGACACCTTTCACCCCCTACCCCCTACCCCACCCTGTCCCAGATCTCGTTGTCCAGTCAGCTGTGAGCAAGTGCTGATGGAGGGGCTCTCAAACCACGGCTGAAGTCAGTGAAGGTGGTCTTTTGCCAGTGCACAGAAACAAATGAGCCCATGGATTTAGCTCTCAATTTTAGGTTTTCCCACATGACTTTGTCTTCCATCTTAAGCATGGCTTGGTCTTAAATCTTGAGCATTTACTACCACCTGTCTGCTAGGGAGCCTTCAGAGAATACAAAACAATTAAGCCAGCTACACATGCGTATTTAAGAAAGAACTGGGAAGAGCTACTCATGCTTAGTCAGCTTGGGACTGTTGTTTCGAAGATATATTTGATTGTGGTTTTTATATCATACACAGAAGCAAGTCTACTAATCAAACCGTTCTTAGTTCATATAATAGAGTTAAATCTGTTAGTAGTTTACAGTGTTCTGCAAAGAGCACTTCAGCTTCCAGGGGCTTTGTCTCCGAAGAATTTCTGCTAGGTGCCTGGTGGAGGCAGGCAGGGGCATGGTGGGAGGGGACAGCTGAGTTCGAGAGAGCATCAGTGTAAAATGTGGCAGCAGTTTGAGTGGGCCAGAGGACAGCTGGATGTGAGGGGGCCAGTCTTTTGCCTGTTTATCCCTGTAAATTCAGAAACTGAAAGGATTAGAAACTGCCCCATGGAAGACCCCGCTAACTGGCAGAGGAACCAGCCGAACAAAGCCTGATCAAGTAGATAAATAACTAGATGATGTAAGTCAGGAATGTGCTTATCTCCACCTGCTATGCTCTGAGCAACAGGACATGGTGGGGGCCAGGGCCTGGCTAGGCCATACCTGGCTGATGCTGTACACAGGGGGCACCAGGCTGTCCTGCCCTAAGTCTGGGTGGCTCCAGGCAGCACTGAAGGTGGCATGCATCCTCGTGGAGAAGTGAAGGATCAGCTGCTGGGCCTGAGTGTCCATACTCACGGTCCAGGATGGGGCTGCCAGGGAATGGGAAAAAGGGTGTCAGGTGAGAAACCCTGTTTGCGGTAGGTGACAGGAGCTGGGCTAGTTGACAGAGAAGTCAGGACAGGGCTAGAGTTTGGCTTGGTCACATTTGGGTAAGGGAGAAATGGTGTGAGGGATTCCCAGCCGAGGTCACTTATTGGCTCACCAGTCTGGTGGGGACATTCAACGTGGCTGCTGTTTCCAAAAGAGAACTGAGAAATGCAAGAATGTCAGGTCAGCAAGCTCCAGGCACCGTCCATACCCCTACCACCCCCTCTCACTCACGCTTGTACCTTGAAGCAGAGCTGGGGGTGCAAGTCCACCTTCTCCAAAACATACCACTGTGGTGACAGAAGGGGGTTAGTCAGGGCCCACGGCCCTGGGCCCCGGCCCTACACACCCAAGTCCTGGGGAGGCCTGTCTCACCCCCTCTGACTCTTGAGCTGTGGCATTGGGGAGGTCTTCGCAGAGGGTGTGCCAGCCCTGCCTCCGGCAGAGGGAGGCTTCCAGCTTCAATGGGCAGCGGAGTGTCGGAGCCATGACCATTTGACTGTGCTGGCTGTAGTCAGTAAAGTTCACTGACTTCCAAAAGTCTGAGCCATCTGGGCAGACAGCAGAGGCAGAGAGTGAGACTTGAGCCCTGCTTTGGCCTCATTTTGCCACCCCCATCCCCAGACATCAGGAGACAACGTTTGTGAAGGTGCCCAGCACAGTTCCTGGTCTGTTTAGGAACCAAAAAAAAAAAAGAGAGAGAGAATGCCTTTACCAGCCCCCTTTTATTACCTTTGCTATTTAGCTGTCTCTTCTCCTTCCTGCTCCTCCATTCTGGCTAATTCTTTGCTGCTCCCCAAACTCCAAATCTTTATATCTTTGCTAAGGTTCCTCTTAGAACCAGGAATGTCTTCCCCTCCCTTCTCTCCTTTCTAAATCCCGCTCGTTTTCTGAGCACAGCCCAGGTCTCCTCTGAGAAACTTTCTCTTGGTAATGACAGACTTCACTGGCTGTTCCCTTTTCTGAGTTCTTGTCCCACAGGCTAGTCCTTACGTGCAGCCCTGCCTGGGACTGTAGGCTGCTTTGTGCTATTAATTATCATGTTTGAGTGTCCTGTCTCTTCAGCTTGGGGACAACAATGTGTGGTCAGCACCTTAGATGTCACCAACCACTTTCACATGTCATATTGAAGTCAAGCCTCATAAACAGTTGAAAAATAAGGCAGGGCAAGTATCATTATTGTACAGATGAGGAAACTGAGGCTCAGAAGAATAAGTGGCAATACTGGGATGTGAGTGAGCCCAACTCTTCTGTCCATCCTCAGGACACTACCTCCTGCCTCTCATATTTGTGAACCTCCCCCAGTGCCTAGTATAATGTTCAACACCCTGATTTATTGGCAGGCAGATTAGTAAACATGGTAGCCCTGTTCCTCTCACTAACTCTAGGGAAAATGTCTGCATGCCTTCTAGGGGCTTCCTCCAACACAGGTGTGAAGTGTGTGCCCCTGTGTGTGTGTGTGCGTGCGTGTGTGTGTGTGTGTATGGAAGAGAGACAGAGAGAGGCTGTGCGTGCACAAGAGTGCATATTAGCAACACTCACAGGCTTCAGGCCAACTCTGGAAGGGGCATTTTTTTCGCCTCACGGTGTCCTCTTGCAGGAAGGATGCCTGGGGGGACAGGGAAGCAAGCAGGGAAGGTCAGAGGAGGAGCTTTCCCTGGATCACTCAGACCTGAAACTCCTGGCTTGCCTTTGCCCTGGTGCAAGCTGCCTGAGCCGGCAGGGCATTGATCAGGCAGAGCAGAACAGGGTGCAGGCAAGGGTAAGTGGTGCCTGACACTGGGGGAGGGAGGGAGTGAGATCAACAGTGAGGGGCTGAGTCCTCTTGTCCCTGGAAAGGAGAACCGAGGTCCGGAAGGAGGCAGATCGTGAGGTCCACATCTCAGTCCACACCTCCACTCTCAGTGGTTCTCAAGGTGCCTAGTGCCCTGTGTGGGCCCCTCCATCTGGGCTGCCCAAATGCCCGGTGGTGGTCCACCCTGGCAGATGCTCAGTGCTCCAAGTCTCTGCCTGCACCCTCCCTTTAGTTTCCTCCTGTGTGACAAAGCCCCCGCCTTTTCTGTCTAATCCAAAGAAGTCTTGATGTTAGGCACTTCAGAGTTATGGAAAGGAGGAGAACTGCCATGAAGGGCTGGTGGGGACAAGACTTTTTTTTATCCTCACCCGAGGACATTTTTTTCCATTTTTTGTTTAGATAGAGTGGGAGGGAGAGAGAGAGAAACATCAACGTGAAAGGGACACATCGAGTGGCTGCCACCCGCACGACCAACCAGGGCCAGGGACAAACTGCAACCGAGGTACACGCCCTTAGCGGGAACCGAACCTGAATCTCTCTGGACCACAGGCCGACGCTCTAACCGCTGAGCCAAACCGGCCAGGGCGGGACAAGACTTTTGAGGCCATATGGAACCTTGCAATGGCCACGCACCCCCACCATGACTGATCAATACACACAATGAAGGCAGCTGTCTTTTCTGCCTCGTGAACTGAGGCCAGGTCTGGACCAAGGAAAGCTGAGCTTGGGTGAGCTGAGGTTGGAATCACCCCCAAGAATATCTCATGTTCAGCAGGACACTTCCATCTCTGACCCAGTGTGTGGCTTATAGTCAAGATGGCACCTGTCTTCCCAAGCACTTTGTTAACACCCAGTCCTTTTAAACCCTGACTTACTGGAGATATGATTGACCAATTGCACTTTCTGAGGACCTAAGAGTGGGGCCTTTTATTCTACTCACCTCAATGCACAGACAGGGCAGAAGGAATTCATAAGGCAGGTCTACAGTGTGGCCCCCAGACACAGTTTTCTGTTGATAAAGCAATAAAGGGAGAGAAGAGATGCCTGAGAAAGAGCATAGCACCCTGGACAAGTGCAAGAGAAAGCTGGGACCTTGGCCAACACCTTATTTTTCATTTTATATGAAACAATTTTTTTATTGAAAAATTTCCTCCCAAGGGGGTCTCTGTTCTGTACTCTCACTATTTTCTCTAGGTGTCTCAATATAGGGTGGGATAAGCGTAGGTTTACAGTTGTTTGTATGGAAAATAATACAATAATTAATAAATAATAATGGAAGAATAAGCTCTGTTTCACATACGCACTACTGTAAACCTACTTTGTGACCACCCTGTATATGGAGTTGGGGGAGGGAGGAGACAGGGAAAGCAACATGCATTTAATGAGCCCCACTGTATGCTAGGTAGGGTACTATGTGCTAAAGCATAACTCAAGTAAATGCTAGCATCTCAGTGATCTTGGGAGGTGTCATCGCCATTTTATAAGTAAAAGGGGCTGAAGATCTCAGGGGTGCAGCATCAGTTTCTGTAAATGACACCAACTGTACACAAGGGCCTTGGTGATGACTGGAAGTTGAGGTGGGGTGTCAGAACCTGGGCTGGGAGAATGAGGGTCACCTCTTTCTCTGAGGAAGGCAACAAAGGCAGGGAAATGGAAGGGTACCAGGGCAGATGCGACCACTTTGTTATTTTCTCAGGGAGAACAACTTCTCCCTGAAAAGAAGCAACTGAAAAGTTTTCTTAATGCAGCCTGAATCTCACTGAGACTCCTCTCATTGGGGGGGTAAATACCATATTCATTTCTCTGCCAGTCATTCATGGTTGCTCCAGGTCTCTGCATGTCCTTTCTTTTCCTCTCCTCCCAGGTGACAAGGCCCCCTGCGTTTTCTGTCTAGTCCAAAGAAGTCTTGATGCTAGGCACTTTGGACTTGTGGGTCTTGGAGAATTATCTTCCCTCCCTGGACCTCCCTGTATGTACAATGGGTAGGATGTTTTTGCTCTAGCAATGTGTGATCTGGCTTTTCACAGGAAAATGGCACTCCAAACCTGGGCATCAAAGGAACTGCTCAGCTCTTCGCACTCTAGTGCCCACTGGTGACAAAGACGCACGTTGACCTCAGGGCCTGGGGGAACGCTCACTCGAATAGCCCGTGCCTCAGGCAGCAAGTCAAAGGAGAACTCAGGCCCTGGGGAGAAGGGGGAGTTGGTGGCCTTGCCTCTTGGCCTTAGCAAAGTCACCATTACTTGACTGTGCCCATCTCCAGTCACACCCCACATCTACCTTTATGCCTTTGTGAGTCCCGTCTTGGGAGACCTTCTACTGCCTCTGGATCTGAAGGTTGGGTTCTTTTGAAGCGCAGCCCCTTTTGGGAGATGTCTGGGGAGGGGATGGAGATGTGATGGCCCTTCTGGGACAGGCAATGGCAACTCTGCAGCTTCCTCTGTAGGCAGACAGCAAGGTTGGCCTCAAGCCAGGAACCAGGATCCCTGGCTTCTATTTCTCTCTCTGGAACCTGGAGTACTACAGGCAACTTGCTCCACATTTAGGCTTCTGTTTCCCTAACTGTGTAATGGAAGGATAGTCTACTTCATCTCCACACTTTCCATCTCTCACATGCTGGAGAACAAAATGGAAGGCCAGAAAGGAAAGATTTGCGGGGCACAGGGCAGGGCTGGAACTGGCAGGGACAGTACCTGAGCAGATGCTGGCATCTTGCGTCTCCTACGGAACTGGAACATGTAAGACTTTTTGGATTTCTGCACCAGGCGGTGGAACCAGCCCCACTGAAGGTCTGCACAGCAAAGGGCACATTTAATATCCAGCCCTCCACTGTCCCTTCTCTACCTGGAGATGATGGCCCAATGTTGGAGAGTAAGTCATTTTTAGATCAAAGAGGGCGATGACATCAAGTCTCTTTAGTTCTGAAAATTATGATACAATTAAAATGGATTAACTTCTTGCCCTGGCCAGGTAGCTCAGTTGGTTAGAGTGTTGTTCCAATATGCCAAGGTTGAAGGTTCGATCTCCAGTCAAGGCTCATACAAGAAGCAACCAGTGACCCAGCTGGTGTGGCTCAGTGGATTGAGTGTTGTCCCATGGACTGAGAGGTCCCGGTTTGATTCCCAGTCAGGGTACATGCCTGGGTTGCAGGCTCGATCCCCGGCAGGGGACGTGCAGAAGGCAGCTGATAGATGTCTCCCTCTCACATCAATGTTTCTATCTCTCTCTCCCTTCCTCTCTCTCTAAAAAATCATTGAAAACATATTTAAAAAAAGAAGCAACCAATGAATACATAAATAAGTGGGAAAACAACTCATTGTTTCTCTCTCTTTCTTCCTCTTTCTCTAAAATCAATAAATAAAATGTAAAAAGGATTAATTTCTTAGATAGAGAACATCTTAAAGATATTCATTGCAGCATTATTTATAACAATGAAAAATCACAAACTGCCAATTCTTAAGCAGTGTGTGGGCATTTAGTATATATCAGGCACTGAGCTAGACAATAAAAATACAGAGTTGAATAAGAACAAGCTTACTTCACAAATAGAAAATAATAATAGTAAATGTATAGAACTAACATTTTAATTCTAAAAATTGGTACCAACTGAAAGGAGAAACACCTTCACAAAATGAAACAAATGAACTTACTAATATCGGTCAGTCGTGCTGTGCCCTTTTAGGATGACCTAAGTCTCTGCTGAGTTTGACAACAAGACAAACATGTGTTCTTGTATAAGTCCCACTTGCCTCAGCCCCTTTCCCCTCCCCCACTACCCGAAATGTTCCTTATTCACATCTCCACTGAGAATGGCCCAAGGGCTATTCCTCATACCTGAAGGAACTGACACCAGGTGCAGGCACAAACAGCAGGGGCAGTGACAGAGCCAAGCACCCCAAGGCTTTGGGAGGGCCAAGTGGGTATGGCAAGGAATATGGGCAGGTCTTTCTGTAAAAAATGAAAAAAAAAAAATACAAGTGGTAGGGCCTAAGGACTTCTCTTCTGCCTGAGACAAGTTGACTTGAGGCTGAGCTCTGTTACTTACATCCTGGCTATGTGACCTTGGGCAAATTATGGGCCAGTCTAAGCCCCAACTTTACCATTCATAAAATGGGACTATTGTCAAGATCAAATAAGATAATGTGTGGGAAAAATATGAAAGTCATTTTTTATTTTTTCTTTATTGATGTTAGAGAGAGAGGAAGGAAGAGGGAGAGGGAGATAGGAACATCAATACAAGAGAACATGGATTGGCTGCCTCCTGCATGCCCCCCACTGGGGATTGGGCTCACAACCTGGCATGTTCTCTGACCCGAAATCAAACTGGCAACCTCCTGGTGCAGGGTCAACACTCAACCACTGACCCACATCAGCTGGGCTGAAAGTCATTTTATTACTGACAGTTGGCGGGTTGGGGGTTCCTGGAGATTTGTCTCCCATTTAATCTTCCCCACAGCTCAGGGGCAACAATATTCATCATGCAGTTATTTCTACTGTTCTGATAGACCCTCAGAAACGAGGTCAGAGTGGTTAAGTGCACTGGCTACAGCCACATGTGGAGTATGCAGCAGAATGTAATGCAAATCCAGGCTTGTCCTGATTCTAAACCCTGTGCTTTTCCCTTGATACTATGTTGCTTCCCAGGCTGGGAGCCAAAAATTGGAATGCAAGGCTCACTGGGGATCTGGAACAAAAGGGGTATGGGGAAGATCAGGGCAGAGAATGAGACTTACCAGTGAAACTGTCATCCTGAAAGCATAGAGCCCAGTGGGGGGGAGGGGGGGTAAAAAAAAAAAAAAGAAGAGAAGTATAATTAGTAGAGATTCCCATAAGGAACACTCTCCCTGGGGTCTTTACCTCAAATGACCTAATTCTGAGGCCCAGAAGCTAACAGCCCATCCACTGTGGCTCTTTTCTTCCCAGCTCTACCCTGCTCAGGCCCTCTGTTCACCAGGACCTTGGCCTCCCCTTCAAGACTAGGTACAGGACACACTGAGGCTCCCACCAGAGCACAGGGACTTGAAAGGTGGAAAAAGACAGACATAAGAGCAGGGAGCTTTGCCAGCCTGTGCCAGGCAGGTGTCCCCACCCGGCAACGGCACCTTACCATGTGGGAGGCCAGCAGACAGCGGGTGTTCCAGTGGGGCAGACAGGGGCAGCCAATCCCACTGGAGGTGGAGAGGCCAGTGAGCAGCAGGTGAAGAAGCAGGAGCAGGGCTGCCAATCTGGGGTGCCCCATGGGCTTCTTTTGGGTCAGGGCACCCAGAACATGGCTGCACGGCCTGAAGGTGCGTGGCAGGACTTTGCAGCACAGCAGCAGGGAGCACAATGCCAGTAGGAACCTTCGCCTCGGCCTGCCCCTGCCCCTGCCCCGCCCAGCCCCAAAGCTCCTCCTTGATCCTAACCAGCAGGCCAGGCCACATTCCTTCTCCAAGCAGGGAGCCCGAGAGATGCTTGCCCCCCAGAAAACTCTACTGTCTCCAACTGAAGGGCAAGGGGCTCCTGCTCTGGCAGGAAAAAGGCTAAGTTTAGGATTAGGGAAATGATTGGCTGCACCCATTTTTTAACCCCTCCTATTCCTGCAACACCCTCTAGATTTGTTACCCGTTGACTGGCTCTTGGATTTGGATCTCCTCTGGACTCATGCTTCATCCCTCACTTAGAGAATTAACAGAGTTAATAAGCACTACTCTGCATTGGATACCAGAGACAGAGGTGACTGACACACCATTTGGAGTTGGGTAGAACAACAAAGAAGCACTACAGGGTGCACATAGCCTTACATGGCCCCATGTGCATCCTGGCTCCCCACCTGCTGACTCTTAAGACTACAGCTCAGCTTTCTCTACCCATTGGCCAGTCCAGATTTTCTGGAAAAAGGGCTCCATGCCTAAGAGGCCTCCAGCTTCAAGGATCCACTAATCAGTACAATCTGCTCAGGAAGCCACAAAGCTTATAGCAGAGCCCTGGAGCTAAGGGAGGGGGCCCCACACACTGACCTGGTTTCTTGTGGTTTCTGATGATGCTGACAAAGCTCCAGTCTTTGTTGGGACCCTCCCCATCATCCCACAGCTTCCTCCTGCCCATGGAGCATTTGAGCTGCTTCAACCCTCACGTTGGTGACACACACAATGGAAAGAAAGTTTGAGGCACACCTACTGGGTTAAGGCATCTTGAAATTGTTGCTGTCATGTTGCACCTTTCAGTAGACCAACCATAGCCTTCTTTAGGCTAATTCTAGTTTCTAAGTCTTCAGGTCCACTGTCTGGAGGTCCCATCCCACCCATTATCTTAAAAATACCCTCTAGCCTTTGAGTTCCTTTTCTTCTTTTTTTTTTTTATCCTCACCTGCGGACATTTTTTCGATATTTTGTTCAGATAGAGTGGGAGGGAGAGAGAGGAAGAGAGAGAGAGAAACATCGACATGAAAGGGACACATCAAGTAGTTGCCACCCACCCGACCCAAGCAGGGCCGGGGACAAACTACAACCGAGGTACGCACCCTTAGCGGGAACTGAACCTGGGTCTCTCCAGACCGCAGGCCGACGCTCTAACCGCTGAGCCAAACCGGTCAGGGCCCCTTTCTTATTCTTTATGCTTCTCCAATACCTAGGGGTGGATGTCATGAAATAGGTGCTCTATAATTGAATAAATGTAAATTGTGATAATATTTTATCTGTTTCACATTTCACAAAGCACTTTTATATTTGATCTTCATAACTAGATTGTAAAATACGTGGGAATTATTGTTTTCATTTATAAAGAGAACTAAGCAGAAAGGAACATTATTTGGTCAAAGTCAAGGTCTCTAGCTTAGGGAGCTCCACTTCTGTCAGCCTCTCACAGTTCAATTGTCTCATGGTTTCTCCTCCCACTGCCTCATCTTCCTCTGCTTTGGGGAACCCCAAATTGTTTGCCTAACACAGTTCTGTCTTTTGGCCTTGGAGCCCATCAATGCAAACAAATCAGTAAGATGTGAAGAGAGAAAAAGGTGGTATGGTCATACTAAGGATTAGTTAGAGAGTCTTCCCCCTAAATTCTTACCTAACGCACACTGCTTTAGATCTGTATAGATCATGCATTTTTCAATGCAGGGTGCATAAAGTGAGAAACTTGGTCCTGTTCTTTAATACTTCTATTTTCTTGAGCCCTTATATCTTCTGATCTAATTCCTACAGTAAAAATTTTTGATTAATTGCTCCCTGATCCTGGCTAAAATATAGTAGGAGCAGAAAATAAATAAATGAAGACACACACACACACACACACACACACACACACACACACAAGAAACCATAGAAAGGAAAGGAAAGGAGCACATAGAAGGGAAAGGAATAAAGGTGAGAACGGAAGAGAGAAAACGAAAAGAGGCAAGAAAAGGAGGTCTGCCTTTCTGCCTTTTTCTTATTGTTTTTGCTGGTTCATGTATTTCTTTCTTTATTTTTTAAATGTACTTTAAAATGTTTTATTTATTGATTGATTGTAGAGGGAGAGAGAGATGGATTTGTTGTTCCACTTATGTATGCATTCATTGGTTGATTCTTATATGTGCCCTAACCAGAGATCAAACCCACTTGGTGTATCTACTCAAGCCACAGAGTTACTCCTCCCTTGTTGACACTTGCTAAAAATCTCTATTCTCCTGGAAATCTGACCACTGATAAACTACCATAAAGACCTGCTTTCTGCCCTGACCGGTTTGGCTCAGCGGTTAGAGTGTATCAGGAGGACATTCTAACCCACTGAGCTACCCAGCCAGGGCTACTGGTTTAGTTATTTATTGTGGAGCTTGTTTTAAAAAGGATTTAAGGTGAAAAACATTGCAGGCAAATTCCAGCACACCCTAGGGAAGGGGAGAGGGGAACAACAAATCAACATTTGCTAAACTCCTACTATCAGGCCCTGGGCCCTGTGCTTTGTCCACATTCTCTTATTTTATTAGTACTACTATCCTTGAGGTCAGACTTATTAAACCATTTTTCAGACTAGGAAACACTAGGAAGATTAAGTAAGTTGTCCACACACAAAAATGAAGAGCTGAAACTGACCACCATGTCTTTCAGGCCCCTTCCGCCAAAACACACTGCTTAGGGAGAGTTGTGGTACATCAGAGGGTTTCTGGGCCCTATATTCTACAAGAAGTGCTAGATTTAGCAGTGTGATTTAGTTGCGTTAACAATGTGGAGGAAGAAACTGGAATAGTTGGACAGAACTGTAGGTCTCTCTCTCTCTTTTTTAATCCTCACCCGAGGATATTTTTCCATTTATTTTCAGACAGAGTGGGAGGGAGACAGAGAGGGGCAGGAGGGGAGAGAAACATTGATGTGAGAAAGACACATCTACTGGTTGCCTCCCACACAAACCTGACCAGGACTGGGGACCAGACTGCGACTGAGGTACATGCCCTTGACTGGAATCAAACCCATGACTCCTTGGTCTGTGGGCCAACACTCTAACCGCTGAGCCAAATGGGTCAAGGCAGAAAGCAGATCTTTATGGTAGTTTATCAGTGGTCAGATTTCTAGGAGAATAGAGATTTTTAGCAAGTGTCATCAAGGGAGGAGTAACTCTGTGGCTTGAATAGAAGGTGGCCAACTGGAATAAAGGCAAAAAGTGTGTGTGGCAGGCCTGCAGCACAGAGATCCTATCCTGGTGGAAGGTGGCTGATGCCTGTCTCACCTGTGGTTTGAGTTGACCTAGACTTCATACTCTAATAAACGTTACTCAGGACCAAGTCAGGGGCTCATTAGGTCTTGGCAGGCACCTATGCATGCTCAGGTACAGAGTACATAATGAGTACCTTGAACAACCATTTTTCTTAACAACACTTTACCCATGCATAGACTCTAGTCAGACCATGCAGTAGCATCTCCAGGCTCTTCCTGTAATGGCCAATTCCAATAGTCTATTGGGACAACTATGCTTACTATTAGGGCACCCTGAGCAGGAAGATCCAATCAATTAGACAAATGTACACCAAGAGTGGGCAAGTGTTTCTTCTTCACTTCTGCTCTTCCAGAAGGAATTAACCTCCAGAATTCAGAGGCAAGACATTATGCCTAGGAGAAGAGGTAGAAGTCTCACTCTGGGGGGCTGGGGAGGGGGGGCAACATTGTTCATCAAGGGAAGAAATTATAATTATTAAGCACCTATTATGTAACTGTTCATATACATCATTTTATTTAATCCTCACAACAACCCTGGGAGGTGGCTACTGTGATCCCCATGTGTCAGATCAAAAAAAAAGAGGCTCAAGTATCTTGCTTAAAGGAAAAGGTAATAAAATGCATGCCTAGAATTCCAACCAAAGTCAGTCTAATAGAAACTGTTTCACTCTACCACACTGCCTTTCTCATGAAGTAGATGCTTTCTAAGGGTCCTTCCAATGCCTACTGTCTAGTTCTGTAAATATCAGGGAATAATAACCATTCCTCACATTTATATAGTGTTACATAGTTCACAAAGCACTTTCATAATACTTCACCTTATTTGATCTTCAAAACAACCCTGTGAAATAGGCAAGGTTTATCTTAGCCCTATGATTAGTAGGTGTGTTTGTACTTTAACCCCTGTCTTTTTGTTTGATGTTTTTATCAATTTTTTAGAGAGAGGAAGAAAGAGGGAGAGATAGAAACATTGATGTGAGAGAGAAACATCAATCAGCTGCTTCCTGCATGCCTCCTACTAGTGATGGAGCCCACAACCCAGGTATGTGCCCTAATGGGAAATCGAACCAGGACCTCTCAGTCCATGAGACTGACGCTCAATCCACTGAGCCACACCAGCTGGGCTTAATTTCAGTCTTCTGATCTAAATGCAGAGTTCTTCCCACTAAATGCGTCAGGGAACACTACAACATTGAGGCAAGAAAAAATGACTGGAAAAGCCCAGAAGAGCAGAATCCCACAACCTAACAAGCAGGAAACAAAACTAAACCAACTGGTGCTTTTATTGGCATTGGCAGTAATTTTCATAATGGGTCTTCAAAAGCACTCCCAAACTGCATTCTAATAACCAAAGAAAATTTTACTTTTATTTAATTAATTAATTTATTTAGTTAATTCTCACCGAGGATAGTTTTCCATTTTTACCTCCATATAAAGCAGGAGGGAGAGAGGGAAGGGGAGAGAGAGAGAAAGAGAGAGAGAGATCAATGTGAGAAAGACACATCGATTGGTTGCCTCCCTCTCCCTCATGACCCCAACTGGGGCCAGGGATGAACCCCAACCAAGGTACATGCCCTTGGCCAGAATTGAACCTGGGACTCT